CACTGCCAGTGTGCGAGTGCCAAAGACAGGCAGCCAGCCTGCAGGTGGCAGTCCCGGTGTTCCGGTGCAGCACCAGTGTCCTCCTTATTGGTACAGTAGTCACTCAAATAAAAAGACCCTAAAAAGCATCGAAAAATGTTCTTTTTTATAGGAAGCCCCAATTTGCTGCGCTCAAATATAGACTACAAATTGTAGTTTTCCCCAATAAATATAAACTATAATAAATTATAGAAAAAATATTTAGATACAAATCTAGAATATTAGAACAAACAATTTCTAGACCCTTTCATAATAGAAAGCTTCTCCCATTTGCGAGTGTCTACTGTACATTTGAAACAGAGTTTGCACGCTTGGGGCAGGGGATGCAAGAGGAGTGAAACAGACAGAGGCACACAAACACTCAGACAAACAGCAGACACACCGACTAACGGACACACGGACACATCCAAAGGCGAGACAACAACAACGTCGACGACGTCTTTTTGGCGCGTGACGTCGAATCTGAATCGGAACTGAAAGTTAAAACGCTGAACGTTGAACGACGCGTCGTTCCAATGGCAGATGGCAAATTGCATTATTATGCGAGTGTCTGCAATCTGCACAACCAAAGCAACAACAACAACGAGAACACACAGTTGCGAATACAGCTACAAAAGCGGAGATAGCACAAAAACAAAAGTGCAACAAAATACGCAAAAACAAACATACAAACTGTATTTTGGACGCTGCTGCATCATCGGAACTTTTCGGTTTTCCGATTAGAAAGGAGGCAGCGACGGGTGGGCGTGGTTGGGGTGGCTATGGGGGGTCATTCGCAGGGATTACATTCCGTTTTGTTCAAAAATTAATAGAATTTCATAAGCTTTTTCAGCTATGCGTCGCTCTCGCTGTCTCGCTCTATTGGCCTGCTCTCTTTCTCTCTCCCTGCGTCCATCTCTTTCGCTCGTTGCAGTGCTTTCTCTCTCCCTCTCTCTCACGCTCCAGTTTATATGCTGGCTCACTCTTTCAAATGTTAATTTGAATTTTTATTAGGTTTTAGGCATGCATTGTTGTTGTTGCTGCCGCCGCCCCCTGCTTTTCACTGTTGTCATGCATTTTATTTTCACTTAAAACTGCAATTGTTCGGGGGCATCATTTTTGTTGTTCTTGTTGTTTCGGAACTGCTGCTGCTGCAGTTGCCGTCGTTGCCTCTGCCAGCGTCGGCGGCGCTGCTGCTGTCATCGTCGAAAGTGCGACTGCGTTAGAAAATTGCATTTGATAATACTAAACACACAGACAGCACACACTTACACCCACACCCCCACACCCACTCGCTCTATAACATATAGAAATCGGTTTTTTTAGGTCGTGGGCTGGGCAGCAGCAAAAGAAGAAGAACAAGAGGAGAAAGAGGAGGCACAAGGAAAACAAAGTCACTTCACCTGCAATCTGCAATTCGTAACGCCAACTATTTAAGTTGGCTTACGTGCTAACGGTAAACTCTCGATTACGTTGCAATGGAATTTATAAGATTTCACAGTATATTTTAAGGATTCTAAGATATTATAGATTCAGATTTTAATATATTGCCACTATGAACAAAATTTTATTATAAATAAATTACCTTTTCTTACTTAATAGGATACAAAGGATAATTTATATAGAACTAAAAAAAACCCTTTAAATTAAATCAAAATATGCCACCCAATATCTTTTTTCATAACACTTTACTCATTTCTTGAGCAAAAATAACCATCGAGTGCCCACTGTTAATCAGCGCCTTACGGCAAGTGTTTACGTTGGGATGGCTTACGTCCCTAAATCGGTGACGTTACAAGTTCCCGAAGACGAACTGCAAATATTATGATGAGAATATTTTTCCAAATCGATGCAGATATTCCCCCTAAGCCCTTTGGCTCCTGCCTGCAGTAATAATAATATTTTCGAAGGATGTTTTTGTGTGATGATGATGATTTACATGGCAGGTAGTGTAGGCATTGAGAAAGTGCCACATCATTTTCATTTTCACTGCACTTTTTCGTGCAGTTTTTGATAGTGATTTCTTTGTGTGTGGATTTTGTGCCAACTCATGTGGCAGCAATCGCGACGACTTTGGACGACCGACCAAGGCGCCGCCGCCGGCTTGTGAAGGAAGAACAATTGAATCCGATTGCCAGGTCCTCGAAGTCCTTTCGCCCAATTTTCTTCTTTGTTTCCCCAGCTCGTTTCTTGGCCCATTATTGCCGAGCGGAACTTCAATTACACATTTGCTCACATGCGAAAAAGTGAAAAGTCACTGGCCTGTCATGGGCCAGAAATCCACAGCCAAATCAAAATCTCATCCACCCGACGGCATTCCTTCTGAGTTCCCAAAAATATATATTGTACGAGTGTATATTCCACCCTTCACTGCATATCTCTCGCCTTTTGGCCACTTTGAAATTTCTTTTTGGCCCGCCTTTTGATTGGAATTGTTGTTGGCGGTCGGTCGGTCCTTGGCTAATGGCGCTGGGGCATTTTATACCCTTTTTCGCAGGCAATAAAAACATTTTCTTTTTGCGCCATGAAATAATGAATAATATGAAGAAAAATACTTGCCCTGCCGCCGCCGTCGCTCCGCCTCGAGAGATGTGTTGTGGAAAACAGAAAACGCATTAAGTGCGCGGTTTTCCATTGTTTATAACATTTTTTTTTGCCACCCAAGAGAACGAGGCAAAGGGATAATTAAGAATGCTTATTTATCTAGAACGCAGTCACGGCGCCGATTGTCCAGCTCCAGTTCCCCGCCTCCTTCCAAAAAATTTAACCGCAGGGGGGCCGAAAACCCCATGAAAAGGTTCGTAAAAAGCCAAAAAAAAGTTTTATTTTTTATGATAAATTGTGGGGATGGGACGCCAGGAAACTGATGGGCCGGAGAAGACGGCGCCATCCAAAGGTCATTCGGAAGCTTAGCAGAAAAGGGGGAGAGCTGACCGAGGAGGGAGGCAATGATTCGAGACATAATGAAATGATACACAATTTTAGAGCGAAAAACTGACTGCCAAAGTGAGCTTTATTCTCGGTTACATTTCACACAGTTTTTAACCGAAAATTAAGGGATATAACAGAGGGAAAATGTATTAAAAATTGATAAAGGATAAGTCAGAGAGATATAAATGAATGAAGAATATTTTTATAACAAGATATATTTTCATATTATATTATTTCTCACACAATTAACTACAAAGCAAAGGGATTGAATTATCCGAAAACTATCAGTAAGAACATGCATGGAAAGCATGATCTACATATTTATATGAGTGCCACAGGTTTTTTCCTTAAAAGTTCACCTGTGCTTCAATCACTACAATCAACCGCCAAAGAGTTCAACCAACAAATGGGCCTTGCTTCGGCTTCTGCCAAAGATTTTCTCCGCTAATTAGCCGGGGCCGAAAGTTGGCGAGTTGAAAATTACCCAACGAAAGAAGACAAAAAATAAAAAAAAATAAAAACCGAACAAAAATCTAAGAAACGTAGAGCTGGAAACTGGGGAATCGATGCCGGTGGGCAGCGCACACGCAAATCACTTGTTTTTATGTAATTAACTGCCGGGGGTTAACGGAGATTTGGTTTGGGCCCAAGACGGGGTAATTAACCAAAAACCGATCGCTTCTTACGGCGGCAAGTTCGAGTTTTTGCCATAATTTCCTAGCTCCAAGACTCTGGCAGTGTCTGTAAAGTCTTTCTTGGTCTTGGACTCGGACGCGGACTTGGTCGTTCAATGACCGATAAAATTGCCTCAACCATCGCGACCAACTCGACCGACTCCAGCTTGGCCGCTGCCTTTTAGCGGGCTATTGATTATTAATATTTTGTATTTTTCCCTACACCGCTTTGTGTGTGTCTCTTTTCGGTTAGTTGTTCCAAACATTTTTTTTTCTACCATTTTACCATTTGCTGTAATTACAGCGACGCGTTAATTGTTTGGCCCCCTCTGCACTCGGTTTTCCCCTTTGTTTTCACAGGTTTCCACACACATCTATTTGTGTTTGTTTTCAGCGCTGTTGAAAAAAAAAAGCAACACTCGTCGAGGCGAGGAATCCACACTTACGCGGCATCTCACTGGGATCCCAGATCCCAAATCCCACCGAGAGCTCGAGGTTCATTAGCTGCTATTACCATTATTGGCCATACACTCTGCCACTGACTGAAATAAGTTGGCAATTACCGCCCCGAAATTCCCCCGAAAAAAAATGCCAAGAGATCCATTTATCAAATCCGAAGAGGACACCAATTCGGGGCCAATCATAGAAGCGTGTAAAACCGATTCGGAGATTCACACATCGCAGTTTTCCAGCTTAAAGAAATTTCTATGACGCCCAAAATATGTTAACGCCTTTTGTAAGTCCGTTTTTTATTTGTAAGCCATTTAGTTCGGTTTACGATCATTGGGAGAGATCGCAAATAAAGTTTAGCGTCATTAAAAACTTGATACCCCAATTTAATTTATGTAAAACAAAATCGGAGACTGAAACGCTTGGCCATTTAAAAGTTTAAGCCAAATACTAAACAAGTGAGAAAGTTCTAATTTACAGTAGGATCAGTTTAATTTGGCTAAAACTGGTTAATATTAAACGAGAAACTAGGAATTTTTTAAGTTTTGATATGACTAAAATTTATACGTTGAATTCTACGAATTTAAAGATGTTTTATTATAATTTGAATTAAAGTTTAACTATTATCTTGCTGATATGATATATTAAAGCACTTGCATTAATTAAGATACTACTATTTTATAATGTATCTATAAGGTGTATCGTAATGACACAGGCTTGTTATATAAAACAAACTACAATTCAAAACATGGAAAATATATTTTAAGTGAGTATTTTCAAAAACCTAATTTTTTAAAGATTTGATTCTTCCAAAAAGTGAATTTATGATCCCCTTAAAAGTAGATTTTCAAACCTTAAAATTTTCCATATCTAAAACTATTTCTTTGATTAAAATATATTTTCAAAACTGTAGTTTTTAAAACTTACCGGTTGTTATGTCTGTTTCCTTGATTTTTCTTTAGCAAAAGTAATCTGATGCAGTGTTGCAGTCACTGATAAAGTCACGGTCACAGTTTTGAGATTTTATTTCAAACGCTGGAGGGCAACGCCACAAAAATTTTAAAATTTGAACACTTTTGAAACACTAAGGGTTCTTCGAAGGATTTCGCCCCTTTTTTTCTATTTGTTTTGTGAGGGTTTTCTTTATTTTTTGTGTATATGAATGATGAGACTTCCTTTTTTTAGCACTTTTCTTTCTGGTTTAGCCGATTTGGAATTTAGTTTGGGTTTTCAACACTGCACAACAACAACTGCAACAACAATAAAGGTAATGAAAAGGGCGAATTCGAAAAGAAAACAACTAAAACAGCAGCGCCAATTTCTTGGTTTCTTGGATTTTCCAAGAAGCGTGAAAGCAAAACGAAAACGAAGAAGCAATAGAGAAGCGCGCTGCACTTTTTGTGTGTTTTCTCTTATTTTCCGCTTGGTTTTTTTTCGCAGCTCGTTTCGTGTTCTGGTTTTTCTGATTCTGATTGTGTGAATCTGGTTCTGAGCGAATTTCGTTTTTATTAATAAAATGCACAACTTCCGTTATTAATTTTGCAACGACAACAATTGCTGCATGCGAGTGTCGCTTTATTTGCTTCTATGTGTGTGTGTGTGACTGTTTGAGTGCGACAGCCGCTGACAGACGTAAGGCAGGAAAAAAAAAGAGCAACAATAACAACAAAGTGACAAGTGATGAGCGAAAAAGAAAACAAAAAAATATGATGGGGCCAGTGGGTGGCGGTGGGCGGGGAAATCGGATCGAATGGTGACTTCTTGTCGCCCCCGCTTTGACAACCTGTCCGCTTTTCCCTTTGCCCGTCGCCACGCTCTTTCGCTCCTGTGCACGCGACTCGCTCTATCCCGCTCTTACGTTGCGGTTTTTTTTCCGCTGCATTCATTCATAAAAATTCAGGTTGTAAAAAAGAGCAAAAAAGTCAAAAAGGCAGTGGATTTTATTTATTTATTTATGTCAATTTGCCGACGCTTTGCTGTTATTGGATGCAGTTATTGTTTTTTCTCCTTTTATTTTTATTTATTCTGTCTTAATTCTTGGAATAGAAATTTTTAAGGTTTATAATATTTTGTTCTTAATGTTTTTTTTCACAATTTGTTTAATTTTCAATTCCATAATTTATATAGAAAATAATAACGGATGTGTGTAGGAATTTATTTTCACAGTTTTTAATTTTCAACTAAATGTTTTCACTAAGTTTTTAGTTAACCCAAAGTTTATAGATTCAATAACACAGTTTATTTTATGATTTATTTGTAGTTTGTTGAAGTTTTATAACTTTTTGTTGGATAATTTGATATTGCACTTTGTTTAATTGTTTTTTTTTTGTGCTTGGTTTTTTTATTATTATTATTATTATTGTTTTTATTTCATGTAAATGTCGTTTCGTTTTTAAATATTTATTTTAATAAGTAAATTGTTTGAATTTTTTTTAGTTTTAATAACGTTCTGTAGTTCTGATTATATTTTAGTTACTTAATAGTTCTAATTTCTGGTATGCTTTTGTTTTTATTATTGTTGTAAATTTATTGTTGTTCCTGATTATTTATTTTTTTTATTTTTTTTTAGTAATGATTAACACAAAGTCTCATAAAACCAAAACAAAGTGCCAAAAACACTGAAATAAGCCAAATTAGCCGCACTTGAATTACGACACTTGCTGCCCGTCTGATTTCTGAAATTGTACTGAATCTTACTGCGAGTAATAAGAATTACGGATTCCTGTTTTCGTGGTACAAATGAAAACACGAAGCGGCGTTGAGCACTAAAATGTTCGATGTTCGGTTCGAACATGTTGCGTGCAAAAAGGGGGTTTTCATTTGCCCAGCAGACCAAAACTTCGTAAAAAATATTCAAAACGGAAGTTTTCCATCCGCACTAAGACCGCTCTTTGTCTGCTGGGTAGCCCCTTCAGAACGCACACAGGCACACGCACACGCCTACTATTATCTAAGCCACACAATCAGACTGTGTTTACTTTTCCAACTAGACAAAGTGGCAAGAGGAAGACGGCAGAAAAGACGGAGAAGAACGCTCGCGAAGACCGAAGAAAGAGCAAGGGAGAGCCGACCAATTGAATTGCAGAATTGCTGCCAAGATATTGGGGAGAAATGGTAGCAGTGAGTGGAGATTGAAGAGAAGACGTGAACTGATTTATCTGGTGCTAAATGCAAATAAGTTGATCAAAATAAAAGCATTTTTAGTCTATAGATTAACTATAAGAAGCAATATTTTCAAAAATACCTTTAAATCTTAAACAAATAATTTTTATCCTCATAAAATTATAAAATTCTTCTTTTACAATAATTAAAGAATTTAAGAGAACATATGAATTAATTTATGGACAAGATAGAGATATTTTAATAAAATTATTAAAGTAATTTCACATTAAAAATGTTAGTTTTAAATTAATTTTCCTCAGTACTTCACTAATATCTTATTGACAATAATCAATTTGGTTAGTACTTTAAAACCGGCTATAATTCATGAGAATATCTAGTGAGTAATTCAAACGGATTTAAATAAATCAAGTGATCATTTGAAATTGTAATACAAATGACGCAGCACAAATGTACTTCATTTGTGTAAATTCCACCCACAGATACCTAATAGCGGATTTAATACAAATACTTCAATAAAGATATAAAAATTATTCCGGGTTCGAAAAGCTTAGTTATTTTGATTTGTTGGAAAATACAATAGGATAAAAAAATACTTTCATATATTGAAATCGGATTAAGTGTGTTAATACCTTTTCCTTACAATGTTTTCTTATATAGTTATTTATAGTTAATTTTTAAATTAATTTTTAATCATATATTCAATGAAAAGATAACCTAAGAATTTTATATACATTTTTTAAGATGTTTTATTTATTTTATAATGATAGAATTTTAGTTATGTATTTTAAATATTAAAATCTTTAGTGATTATTCAGATTCGATTTGTCAGATTCGTGAGGATCCAAAACTGTAAATTGTTAACTTATAAGAAATAAAAAATATATATTCCGCTAATAATTTATTTAACTTACTCTTAGGCATTTCATAAAATAATTTTAAAACTTTAGACTGCTTGGTAATAATGTACATATATACCCACATGATATATAACACTGCTACCGCACTGTAATCTCGCCCTGTCCCCGATTTCCCTGCAGGAAGTCATTAAGTTGCCTGGGGCTGGAATAAATAAAGTTTTCCTCCCACTTTTGACTGCTGCTTTTGGGGAAAGCTATAAGGTGGCGGCACCCCACAGCAAAAGTGACTTTATTAAACGCGACAAAAACAAAATAAATTTACGTGTAAAAACACTTCAAATACAAAAACATTGGAATTGCTGGGGCAGCCCGAAGAAGATGCAGCGATCCGTAGATGCAGCATGGATGGATCTGGCGGCATGCGGTGGCTAATGTATCTAATAGATACACGACAGCATGTCAAACGCATCCAGTGGAGCGCGTGAAGTTCGGCTGGATGGAGGTACAAAATCGGATAGGAGGTATGATATCTTGTGGGAGGGGGATAGCGTTAAATAGTACTGGAGCGGGAAGGCCTTGGACTGAACCGATCATCGCCAAGGTATATAAGATAATAGCACTCGGAGAAACAATATTAATATTATAAAATAATAGTTAATTAACAATATATTATTAGAAACAAAAATAAAATAAGCTTATCAATAAATAATAAATAAAAAAATTAATCAGGAATCTTTGATAAAGATTAGGTGTTAGAGAGAAAATTATACTATATTCCCCAGTTTATTTGATAGATTTTAACATTCTTCTCAGTGAAGATTGTACGATTCTTCGCTCCACTTTTCGCCGTCTTCCCCTTGTGCTTTCCTCCCATTCGTGCTTATCTAATTAACATTGGGATTGTAGTACACTTTTAATTTATATCTTATTGATGCCGGCGACATTTGTATTTATTTTTACCCACAGCCCCCGCTCACTACGATATTTGTTTTATATATATATGTATGTATATGTATGAGTATATATGGGTAGGTACTGTTCGAAATTCACTTCCCCAAATCTATTTCTCCGCCCTACCACCCCCCTTCGTTCGCTTGTGTACGTGTGGAATGTTATTTTTATCGAGAGTGAACGAAGAAAAAAATTGTGGAAAGCTAAAATTTATATGGAATAGGTGTCGCGCCTTGATATTTTGGGTATAATTATTGTTAATATTTGTTGCTGCCACCGCTCGCATCGCATCCCCCTTTCCCTGTAGCCGCTGCTCGTCTTTTTTTTTATTTTTTGTTGAATGTTTCCTTTGTTGTTGCTGCTTTTTATCTACACTCTAATTAAAATATTCGGTTGTTTTGCGCTTGATTTTTCGGCATATACATATATGCACATGTGTACATATATTTTAATGCCACGATCTGTCTAAATGATTTTTTGTACGCCTTTCAATAGTCGAAAGAAATTGCTACGAAGAAATCTAAAAAAGTAAATATAATAAGAACAACAACAATTAAATTCGTGGGTGGTTTAAGTTTATTTTTAATAGAAAGAATCAGTATTTTCAGGTTGTTTTTAATGGCATCTGTTTATGACATATGTGTGATTTTGATATTATTCCAAATGGTTCCTCCTCGTGCTGGTCCATTGCTCACTTTTTTAGCTGTCTACATTTTGGTTGATAAATGTCAGTGAATTTGAATATTCTTTTTAGATTAAACCATTAAGTTTGAATATATATTTATTGAGGTCCACAAAGCAAGAATATGAAGTAATATTTTAGAATTTAATGGAATTCTTCTTTCGTAAAGCCTTATAGTTTTATTTTGTAAATGAAAGTAAACGAAAACCATAAACTAAATTAAAATATATATTTATAAAAAAAATAACAGTAAAATTTTTTAAAATTCTAAACAAGGTGTTCAAATAATTATTTTATTTTTTTTCTCATTGTTTTAAATATTAAATTACCCAAACACACGTCTTAAAAGAGCTTAAAAAATCTATCCCTGATTAATATCTAGTAATTAAAATGAAAAATCCAAGTCTGATCTCCCTAACATGTATATCGATTAAAAGTCTGAACAAATCACAGCATTGATCAAGATTTAAAATCTGGCAGATTTCTCAATTTTCCCCTAATGGAGTCATCCAGGTTGCGTACTCGAGGACCTAATAGGGGAATATATCAGTATATATCTTACAGAACACACGGGGCAAATGACATTTCATTTATCTTTCAGCTCGTGCAGCAATTCCAAGCGGGTTTTCCTAGTTTTCCTTGTACCTTTTCGTAAGGGGAAAGCATTTGCGTTGGCGACCAGCATTCGATGTCGGCGATGAGTTATTGACACTCGAAGCTGCGCCGCATAAAGCTCTCAGTTCCGGTGATCTCCGGTTGAGTTATCAATGTGAAAAATAGAAACATGATTATGAAATTATCAAAAGAAATACTACTTGTACGTGAAAAGTCTGTGGGGGAAAACCTGAACAATGCGGAGAGGGCGTCTAAAATAGAGAGGCATTATAAATGAGATCTTCGGATGGGTGGCGCTTTCGTTTTGCTTGAAATTACCCCACGGCCTTAGATTGGATGATGGAACTCGTAAAGCCAGCGGCGACGTAATTAAATTCAACCACAACTAAAAGTAGAAATGGTGGGAACACTATCGAGAGGCCTAGTACCCTGGAAAAGATGAAGATTTTATAAAAGAAGTAAAAGCGACAAATGGTGAAACACTAAAAAGTAATAACCAACTTACAAAGTTAGTTTAAGACCAAAAAGAAGTTGATAAAAACAATAAATTTTCTTTCTTTAAAATATAAATTTTTATATATTTTTATTTCCAGAGGTTATTGTTAGACGAGAATGTGCTTATTTTAAGATCATAAAGAATACTTGAAATTGTCAAAAGTGAAATATCTTTTCCTATAAAGATATTGTTCAAATGTTTTTCTTATCGTTTATATCTACTGGTTAGAATTTATTACTAATGGAAATATCAAACTTGTATTTATTTTTCCCTAGGGAATTTATACATATGAAAACATTAACTTTTTAAATTATTTATTCGGTTAGGATAGATTTCTAGATTATAAATATCTAGACTAGTCTCAGTTTTTCCTCTGCGTTTTAATTTTTAATATTTATGTACATATTTTATACTGGAACTTTTGTAACGATTATAATAGTAATTGTACTGTAGCATCAGTTCATCTTCCAGCAACGCCGACGCACACACACGCTATCTGGCCTCCCTTTCTTCTCCCTCGTGCTGGCCTTGTCTAGCGAACGTGTGTGGACAATAGAAATGATCGAGGTAAATATGACTGTACATACATAGGTATGAACATACGCTCAACTCACCTTGCGGCTCACGAATTAAGTGCCCAAAGACAGAGAAAGAGAGAGAAAGAGGGAGAGCGAGAAAGATCCCGAGAGTGTTTCTTTCGGTTTTGGTTTTTTGAAGATGATACACGAACCATGAATTTAATTATGATAAAGAAAAAACAATTTTATAGCCAACAAAAGCACGCAAATAAAGACTTATAAGCGTATTAGTACCCCGATTGTGTGTGTGGTGGTATGTACCAGTTTATGGTTTGTGTGTGGTTGTTATTATGTAAAATAAGTGGGAAAGCGACTGGAATTGGAATGATCCAAGACTCTATTTTGTTTGTGTTTGTGAGTAATGTGGGTATATGCAATGGTATGAGTGCTTTATATGCACGAATTGTAA